ACAGTAAATGAAGCGTCCATTTTTTTGTAAGAAAAATGAACGTCGATCGTTATTATTGTATCTTGATTATCCTAAAATTGCAGCATGTGAATTCAAATCACAGCGAACATCTTCTGAACTCTTTAACAGTACCGTAATTCTAAAAGGAACGGAAGCATAAAAGGGTATGACTATAAATAAACACCAGTAACGTATAAAAATAAGAGGAAATTGTATAAATAATAATTTTTTTATGCTTTATAAAATTATACAATACAAGCATATTAATAGAAAAATTATTATGTACCAAAAAAAGGCTTAGCAATCATCACCCAAAAGAAATATATATACGTTACATGTAACGACATAAGGGAACTATTCTCATGTTCCCCACGCTGTGTTGGGAAACTTGTTATATATAAATGTGAATATAAATTCACGAGTAAATTACATTTCTGGTCCATCCGGTTTTGTTAGATGTGTATTTTCAGTAAAAGTTTTGAAAAATTATAGTATGCAACTTTATGGTTGAAAAAAATTATAACAGACATCCAGTCAATTTAACAAGGTCATTTTATCATTTTTACATCTTTTTGTTTTTCTATCAAACTTTATGAACGGTTAATTGTGCTCATCAGTAGTCCATATTACTGTTAATCATTTATACATGCAAATTTTGAAAATAAATATAAAAATTGTCAAACAAAAATTTAGATTATGGCCTAGACGTACCTTAGGAGAATATATTGATGTTTTTGATGTTAAAAAATCATGAGTGGATTAAGACTTCATAAGTTCATATGTTTTTTTTAGTTCTCAAAAAAATATATATATATATATATATATATATATATATATATATATATATATATATATATATATATATATATATATATATATATATATATATATATATATATATATATATAAGAAATATATAATATAAAAAGAAAAGGACAAAAGAGAGAGTCAAATGGTCATTTTTAATAAATCATAGATGCAAAGTGTAAATTTTATAAAGCATGTCGATGCATCGTATCAAAATTTTAAAAGTCATACGAAAATTACGAATCTGACAAAATAAAATGAAACCAAACTTTAATTTAGTCGTTCCTATTTGAGTGATATCTTCTGCGATCCCCAGATGTTTTTATATAAATTAGTTTTGACATTAAAAGAGTTGTGGCACAACTTATTATTCGTTTACACGCCACATCTACTTAGAACTTTATCGAAGAGAAATCTAAAAAACCAAATCAGTCCTATCAAAGCATCTATGCAAAAAAAAAAATCGTAAAAAGTATGCATATACGACGGTTGCATATGTGTGCAAACGCTAGAAATTCTCAAAGTTCGTATTAAATATACATATGCACCTATCGTATGTGTACATTTTTTTCCAGACTTTTTTTTTTTGTGAATATGCTTCTATATATATATATATATATATATATATATATATATATATATATATATATATATATATATATATATATATATATATATATATATATATATATATATATATATATATATATATATATATATAGACACACACGCATGACGAGTGCATATGTGTGTAAACGTTGGAAATTCACATCATTCGTAAAAAATACACATATGCACTTATCATATGTGTACGCTTTTTTCCATACTTTTGTTGCGAATATGCTTATATATGTCCGATTTAGTGCTTTGTGTCTGTAACATTCCGTTTAAATTAAATAAATAGATAAGATTTAATAAATGAATCATAGCCCTAAATTCGAAACTATTTAGCAAGGCGTTGGTTTTGGGGGTTAAGAGTATAATTTTCGGCTAGTTTGTAAAGAATTTTGAAGGTTTAGGGGTGTTTGGTAAATTATGGATTTAATTTGAAAAAGATTTCAGATGTCAAGGGCTGAATGGTAATATATAGGACTAAAGTTGAAAAGGGTTTATAGAGGAGGGGTTGAAAGTGTTAACATGGCTAAAGGTTTGAAATTTGACGGAAGTATATAACCCATCACCCATGCCCTCATAACCCTAACCCTAACCATATATAACAGCTGCCACTGTGAAGTAAATTTATTTAGTCATCCCTTTTACCTTAACTTTTAATAAAGTAAGGCAATAATGGTAACATATAACCAAATAGACCTTCTATCGGCTACTGGTCATAATGTTTCCTCATAAACAATTTATAAAGTCTAATAGACACCTTTTCAACCATAATTCCCTTGTGCATGTCGACATTACTAACCATTTTAGTCTTCATATTGAAGACCTAATTACAACTCATTCTCACAAGACTAACATTTAGATAAACCAATTTCAAATTTGGATATACTACATGGATTAAATTTCACTATCTTTATTGATGAATCAATGAATCGAGTAAGATATTAATCAGAGTTAATATTGAAGAAAGTATGAGGAATTAAACACAGGAAGTAAATAAGATTTCGCTTTAACTCTATTACGCTTTGTGTTTACAGAGAACAATAGACAAGACTGTAAAGACTCTATCTAACTCTAGTAAATGATGTTATTTATAGGTCACATAAAGCGTACAAAAAATATACTAATACATAAACACTTAAGCTTCGTATAAAAGCGCCCTAGTAAAACAGATTACAAAACATACAAAGGGTACAAAACATACTTCGACTAATTACAACAAAACTATCCATACAATCTCCCCCTTTGTAATCATAGTCGAAGACTTCAATTTGTAAGCAGTTAGATGGAATACAACATCACTCTTCGTATCTCAGTATACCAGGAAATTATATTCTTAATCTCCTTCATGTCTCCTTCATTGTTCTTCTTACAATGACTCATACGAACAATTAAGTTCGTATATTGAGAAGTTGAGTATCTTTCCACCTCACTAGCCTGGAACAAGAATCGTTTTGATTTCCTAGACTTGTCCTTTCCTGAGAAGACTAACCCAAAAGGACTTCAAGCAAATTTCACCATCAACATACTTTTTTAGATCTGCTTGAGTCTTCCAAGGAGCCATTGGAGCAGTTATTTCTAATCCTTTTGCTGTAGCTAACTCCACATCAGTCAAAGCCAAGCATTCATAATAATTTTCGATGAAGATTTTGATGTGAGTAACTCCAAGCTTGAACTCATCCGGATCAGTATTTTAAAGATAAGAAAAAGATCTTTCCTTCAACAACAATGCAACTTGTATAAGGTCATACAAGTTCATCAATGGAAAATCTGCAATAGTAAAATCACAAACATTTCCATTTGCTCTGGCCACCACATACTTAATATTTTGGACTGTGTTTTCAAAAACAACATCCTTCTTTATACTGATCACTTTCTTTATCTTTATAAGTGACCACACCTCTTCAGCAGGTTTTGCAAGAACTGCATGATATCTGATCTTCATATGTGTTCCTTCATCCTTCACTTTGAATTTACTTTCAGCTTTGAACTAGGGCATGATGAACATCATCTCATTGATCGGAAAATCCAATTGGCTTGCATCAGTATTCGTAACTATGTAGCTCTGTTTTGGCTTCTTTTCGAATGAATACATAGGATTGAATGCAACCTTGGCTTCGATTGTTTCGTAGTTATAATGCTTTGATGGATCACCTTTGTTCATGCCTGGAGGATCACTTGCCCTTTGTGTCATTATGCTCTGTATCAATCTCATCCTCTCCAGTTCAGCTTCAGCCTCAGCTTTCTTTTCTTCCTTTGACTTCTCCACCAAAATAGTTTTTCCTCTGGCTTTCGAAGCTGAGTCTTCTATTACTTCTTTCGTTTTTGAATCACTTCCACCAACATCAGAAGATTTACCAATCACAATACCTTTCAAAAGTGGTCTTGTAATTGGCTCAGTTGTTACCGCTACCGAAGTAATCGAACTTGAAGTTGCTATGATTGGCTTCGTAGTTGGAATCTTTGAAGAAAATACCTTTCCCACCACCTTCATATCATCACCACTAGCCTTTGAATCCTCACCCTTCCTTTCTCCCCCTTGCACCCTTGTATGAACAGGCGGGGCATCTGTTGTTGGAAGAAAGTTGGATATGCGAGAAAGAGGAGACAAATGTTTGAGAAGTATATCTTCGAATTGAGAAAATTTTTGCAACAGAAAATCCGAAGAGAGTTCAGAAGATGATACTGGATTTGTAGATAATTCTTTGAGATCCTTTAACAAAGTGATGACCTCCATAAAATTTTTGTTTTCAGTTGTAGAAATTTGAGATAGTTGAGGACTCAAACTTTCATACAACTTGGCAAATTTCGTCAATGCATCACAGATGATGTCAACCTTCTGATTTAGAGAAGCATATTCCGTTCGAACACATGCAATCTCTTTGTCCATATCTTGATGAAGCTCTTGAAGTTTGAAGTTGACATCTTCACGAACCTTCTTGACATCTTGAATAAACAATACATGATGTTCCTTGGTTGCCTTTCGTAATTCCTTCAAATCTCCTTCAAATGTGGACTTCTGAGAATTCACCCTCAGCTCATTGTTGTGATCACACATATCAACCTTCTCTAAAATACGAGACTCAGTGTCGTTGAGCATGCCAGAAACTTTCGAAGTGATCCTTCCTTCTAACAATTTTAATAAACCATCAACCTCTAAATTTGACATATAATTACCTCCCCAAAGATCTGCTTGTGATTGAAGAATAGAATTTAGCTTTGTATTCAAGATTTTAAACAGCTTCATTGTCATAAGCATATGATATGAGAAATCAGCTTCGTCTTCATCAAATACCAAATCCTCAAAAGTACCTCCAAAACCTTCAAATTCATTCTCAGTCTCCATAAAGATATATTCGTGAATTGGTGAAGTGGTTGTGTGCATATCAGTTGATCGAGAAGAGAAAAGAGAAGTAAATGGATGTTTGATGATGTTTTTGAATCTAGGGGAATCTGTGGTGGAAGTAATGGATATGACAGGTGCAATTTGTGGAGGAAAAAAAAACAAAAGTTTTTGAGGTAACATTTGTATTAGATACATGTGCAAGAATGTTAGAAGTTCGTGCCTCCTCAGAAAATGACTAGGCAACCGAATCTTCAGGTGGTATAACAACTGTCTGTGAAGGAGTAGAAGTATCTTTTTGGAGATTTGCTTCAGGAGTTTCTGGAATCCTTTCATCTTCATCATTTGTAGATTCAGTAGAGATGATCATCGTACTTGTCTTCTTCTTCTTCTTTGAAATATGTTTAGCCATATATTCAGCCCTTCGTTTCTTTGATGATGGAGAAACAGGCGCTAGAATTTCACGAAATAGGATTCCCTGATGAGTAACCTGTGGCTTTCATATGACATTAGTGATTTGAGATCTGCTCTTGTGCTTTGACTTCATTTTAATTCTTTGAAAAACACTGGTCTTCGAAGGAATAATTTCTTTTGCTTGAGTTTCTGGACCAACATGCTTAATTAAGTTTGTGTCAGCAATCGAAACTTCGTGTGTCACTGGCTCTTCAACAGCGATTGGTTGCTTCTTTGGAATCTTCTTAGACTTAGACTCATTGATTGGTTTTTTAGAAGAACCAGTTTCAGTCTTCTTCGTACGTTTAGACCTTGTCTCCTCCCTTGCCAATAGAATCCCAGTCTCAATAGTAGTATCAATTGTTTGCAAATAATTCACTAAGACTGTATTCGTTGGATCAACACATTTCAGCATCGCATCAGGAATACGAGCTATAGGAAACTCCTCAGCATCATCAGTTGCATCCTTCGGACAACTGTATACGTAAAAAAACTTCTTTTTCCTCATCATTTGGTACAATAATACTCTCCTTCTCGTAAAAGTACTGCAAAATCAAGCTCCAATATCTTGCACACGAAATGCCATGAAGAGCATTCGTGTTTTCGATACTCTTCAAAAATTCTTTCCATAGTTGAGTAGAATAATCCACTTATAGATCATAATAAAGCCCTGCAACCATGGCATATACCTCCATTCGACCCTTGTTAAGACCTACCGTTCTTCCAGTCAAACACCTCAAGAAAATACCAAATAAGAAATTCCAAACACTAGGAAGACTAGACTTCTTAAACTCACTGATCTTTGTTAATTGAGGTTGATGGCCCATTTCATTACATATATGTACAATTTGAGGAAAAGGTAAAATTGACATACGGAGGGGAATTAGGGATTACCAAAATATGATAAAAAAGCTTCTTGGACAATTTGACCTTTTTATCATTCACGAGATTGAAAGTAATTGCATCAAAAGCTTTTGAATATGTAGCAGTTGATCCGGCTTGAGAAAGCCATGAAAGTGGAACAGAAAAAGAACTGAACATTGCTTTTGATAGAACATAACTCTTCAAAGCAACAATTAGCACCTTGAGTTCTTTAGGGTATTGAGAAACATTAGCATCCACTTGATAATTCGTACCTTGAATCTTCATAATCGGTAAAGAAGTAACATCATCAGTGGTGTGATAAAAATTAGCATCAAGATTAACAATAGTCGCCATTATTAGGGTTTGAAAGCTTGGTGTAGATCAGAGAGTATTTGGGAATTATTGTGTTTGAAAGCGTAAACTGATAATGAACCCTTGAATCCCCTTTTATATGTAACCCTTGATTTTGAAATAAAAGCGGGATGTGTATTTAATGAAATCTGACGTGGCACCGAGAAAACCGCGTCAAGATGATGATAAGTGACCATGCATGATAAAGTAACTCTGACGTCTCCTCAAAACCCAGATAGAATACAAAACGTCCCCTCAAACAAGCTGGTTTGTTTTCCCCAATGGAATAGTAACCGTCGGAACCCTTCGTATGGAAGTAAGGCTCTTTTACTTTTGGGTTTCAAAGTAAAGTCATTTGCCAGATGTTTGAAATCATCAGCCTGAGTTGGTATTACCCTGCAGTGTTCCAAAGAATTTAGATGAGAAGCAATAAAAAGAAAAATTTTGAATTCAGTGATGTCAAAAATTCAATTTGACACGAAGGCAATTAAAACCTAGGGCAAAGGTTGCTTCGTTAATCATCAAGAGAGATGATCAACAGCTTGTGTATGTTCCCGTGAATTACAATCGAATACATGTAAAGAAGTATCGAAGGGCTTCTTTTTTTACTAGGTGGCTTAATGAATTTCGTTACATATCAACCTAAACATAAGGTAAGTAAGTGTAACATAAATTACTTGTTTGACCAGTGTAGTCAATGACAAGTTGCTTTGGAAAAGTTTTAAATGACTTTGGAGTTCGAATAAACTCACATGGAAATCATATTCAAGAAGAAAATTGTGTACTGGATCCTGTCGGGTAACAAACATCGTGGGTTTCAAATGTTTGATCAAGACCACTCATAAGAAATGAATATGATTTGGAGTTTCGAATGTTGGTACAGAAACAAATGTTTCGTTAAAACCTGGAACATAGTTCCCCATCAATTCCTTAATTGTTGAGAGATTTGGGTTTCACTTTCATCACGGTCTTATGATGTCCGATCATAAACACAGAGTTTTGATATCTCTAGGTTTCGATTAGTTTGATCAGATACCTCTTGTACATATATCTTCATGTGTGATTGCGTAAGAATTTTGAGATGAAAAAGATTAGTACAAGGCACGAAATGTACCTCTGTTATATTTGGACCAAACAGTAAACTCTTAACTCATGTGAGAAGAGTCAGGTAGCTCAGAAGACTAATGTGAATACAAGTCTGATTGGGAAGAAATCTTCATATGAAAATTTTCATTAAGGCTTTCGAACACACACATTGATTCAGTAGAGGCTTTGGTTAACATGCTTTAGCATGCTTCTAGGGACATATTAACTAGTTCAAAGTATTCAAAAAAATACCTGACCCTAGAACTGCAAGCATTAGACCAGATGAATCAGCATGTAAATTTGCAACAAAATACGAAAAAGAAAAGAGAAACAAAATATTTTTGTTGTTTTTAGATTTTTGTAAAATAAAAAAAAAACTTTTTGGAATTTTTGATTTTTCAAAAATAAAAAAATAATTTTTTTTTTTTGGAATTTATGATTTTTCGAAAACAAAATAAGAAACTCAAATGTACTTGTTGCAAACATACAAAATTTAATCAATCCCTGAAAAATGACAAATTTACGAATTCGAAGGATTCAAAGAGTTGACTCTGAACAGTAACCTCTGAATACTGAATGACATTCCTTTTTGTTTGATTTCGTGCCTCTGAACCATTCCTTTTTAACCATCATTCTCCTTTTTCGCATGGAACGGAGTTTCCAATGATCATTCCAAGTCCTTCCAAAATTCTTACAAATGACTTTTCATCTAACGATTTTGTGAAAATATCAGCTAATTGATTTGTTGTTTTCACAAAATGCACTTCAATATTTCCATCTTCCACATGATCCTTGATGAAATGATAACGAAGAGCTATATGTTTAGTCTTCGAATGTTGCACAGGATTATGAAAAATTCTTATGGCACTTTGAGAATCACAATATAATGGAATCTTTTTCATATTAATTGCATAATCATGCAATTGACTTTTGATCCAAATTATTTGTGATGTACAAGCAGCAGCAGCCACATATTCTGCTTCAGCAGTTGAAATCGATACACATGTCTGCTTTTTCGATTGTCAGCTCACCATTTTACCATCAAGCAATTGACAACCACCACTTGTGCTTTTACTATCAAGATTACAACCACCCAAGTCTGCATCCGAATATGCCTAAACAAAAAAACCAGTTTCCGAAGGATACCACAATCCTAACGAAATTGTTCCCTTAAGATAACAAAATATATTCTTCACAGCAGTGAGATGTAGTTCTTATGGATTTGACTGATACCTAGCACAATTACACACAGAAAACATGATATTCGGTCGACTAGCAGTAAGATAAAGTAATGAACCAATCATGCTTCGGTAAAGAGTTAGGTCAACTGCAGGTTTATCTAACGAAGTTGTCAGCTTTATGCCAGTTGCCATAGGAACTCATCATTTCTTGCTATTTGTCAATCCAAACTTCTCTAGCAGATTATTCGTATATTTTTCTTTATTAATATAAATACCTTCTCTGTTTTGACGAATATTCAACCCAATAAAACTATTAATTTTTCCCATCATGCTCATTTCAAACTTGCTTTTCATCAAATTTTCGAATTCACTAGACAAAGCAGGGTCAGTTGAGCCAAAAATTATATCATCAACATAAATTTGAACAAGCATTAGATGATTCCCAAATTTCATTTGAAATAATGTGGGATCAACTGATCCTTGTTTAAATTTAGATTGTTTCAAAAATGAAGTAAGTGTTGCATACCATGCTCGTGGTGCTTGTTTTAAAACATAAACTGCCTTATCTAATATATAAACATGATGATGATGTTCTTCATTAATAAATCATGTATGTTGTTCTACATAAATTTTTTCTTCAAGCTCTCCATTTAAAAATGCACACTTCACATCCATTTGATAAACATCAAAGTCTTTGTGAGTTTCATAAGACAGAAATATACGAACAACCTCGAGTCTTGCGATAGGGGCAAATGTTTCTTCGTAATCTATTCCTTCTTGTTGTGAATAACCTTTAACAACAAGCTTGGATTTGTTTCGAACAATATTTTCATCTTTGTAGCTTTTATTTTTGAAAATCCATTTTAACCCGACAATCGAAACATCATTTGGCTTAGGAATTAATCTCCAAACCTTGTTTTGTTCAAATTCAGATAATTTAGATTGCATCGTAACAACCCAATCTGATTGTTCCATTGCAAACTTAATTGTATTTGGTTCAATCTTAGAGATAAAAACATTGAACATGCAAAATTCTTGATGAGTATTTAATAACTCATTTTTTTCACGAATTTGAGCTCTTGTTAAGACTTGTTCTTGTGGATTTCTAATTATTTGTTGCTTCGGATGATCTTTTTTCCATTTTTCCAATGGTGGATAAGCTGGATCAAATTCCAAAGGTGCATCTTCGTATAAATCATCAGTTTCTGACCATGCAATTGAACATTTATCATTAAAATCATGAAAATTTTCATTTTGTTCAAAATGCCCCCCCTGAACATCAACATCCACTCTCTCATTCTCCCCCTCGAAGGAATGCTCTCCCTCATCAAGAGTATTCAAATCCAAGTATTCCCTCTCCATTGGATTAGTATGCCTACTTTCATCCATTGCTTGAGGATGTGATGTTGAACTATCATTGAGCTTCGTTAATTCAGATATATGATTATCATTGGCATTAATTTCAGCATCACCAACATGATCTGAAATTCCAAAAATTAAATCATAATCAATATTCTCTGGTTGTGAATGTTCAGATTCTTCATGAATTTCTTTTAAAATAGGATGATTTTCAAAATTCTTTTCAGTTTGTTTGATATAATAATCGTCAAATGTAAAATTAAATGTTTCTTCCACTTTTTGTGCTCTTTTGTTCAACACACGATAGGCAACTGAATTATGCGAATATACTAGGAAAATCCCTTCATCATCTTTTGCTTGAAACTTCGAAAGGTTGTCCTTAGGATTCATAATAAAGCACTTGCATCCAAAATCATGGAAAATTTTCACATTAGGTTTTCCATTATTTATTATTTCATATGGTGTGATAATTAAAACGACGATGGATGAAAGATCTGTTTTGAGTAAAACATGGGGTGGAGACTACTTCAGCCCCAAGATATTGTGGAAGATTCACATATGCCAGCATAGTTCT